TAGTCTGAACCATACTCGACCTAGTCTGAACCATACTCGACCTAGTCTGAACCATACTCGACCAAGTCTTAACCAACCTATACCTATTTTTTGTATCTATCTATCTATTGTATTTCATCTATTTAGGAACTGTTTTTAACAACAGCTATTTCCCCTGGCTAGAAATTTGAACAATAATTTGAAATTAAAAATGTATTCAATATAGCATTGAAACCAAAATTTTACAATAAACATAATATAACTTCATCACCATATTCATCAACACTAATCTTATATACATACATATATATATCACCTTTAAAATAAAAATAAAACAAGCTGATCAAATAATCTCAAAACTGAATTGTGACTAATATTTTCAATGTTATTCAAAATTTTTTTGAATGTTTCAGATATATTTTATGGTTACTGGACACTTTTCACCATTAACTTAAGCCTCGTATAGATTTATGGTGTCACTTGAGTTTAGTTAATAATGCAGTGAACATTTTTTTTATTAAAATATATATAAAATAGCATATAAAGCAACTTAATAAATTTAAAAAATGACACCTTTGTTTTGTTAAACCAAGAATTTAATATAATCATGATAATAGAACTTCCATAGTAGTCCTGTGATAAACTTTTAAAAAAGGAAATGTGTTCCAAAGTTACAGTAAAAATTTATTTCAATTAAATTTAAATAATTTTTGTCAAAATTAAAGACATGGCATACAAGAAGCACTTTAATAAGGTTTAATTACCTCATTACATGTGTGTTTTACAGGTAAAAAGAAAGCCCTATTTTTCTTAAACTCGTGTATTACTTATCTAGTGAATTCAAAAGGCCTTGCTATTTAAGTTTCACAGGATGTTGCAATTTTGAATGAATGTTATTTAGAATTTAATACTCTCTGACCAGGTGTGACCTTTTTCGTGAGTTTGCCCCAAGCAGGAGGTATTACTTTATACATGTGCTTCACCACTAATCAGAAGAACAATTTTATTAATTTCTTTAATTTTTATCCCTTTTTGATTTATATTGTATATAATATATCCTAAATTATAATAATAGATATATTTCTAAAATAAGGTTAAACAATTTCAGTGATTTTGTTGGCTGTTGTTACCTCATTAAAAAGATAATTATATAACTATTGTACATTTTTTGTATGTAACCATGAAACCTATGTATTTTTATTTAGGAATTTAGAAAAAATTAATTAAAAAAAAAAACACATGCCAAACAAGAAGCACCTTAATAAGGTTTAATTACTCTCAGTGAAGGTGTGGTTTTTAGGTAAAAGAAAATCTTTTTTTAACCAAACTCTAAAACTTTAAAATTAATATAATTAAATTATTAAAGATAATTTGATTTAACTATCTCTATTCGATAAATCTGAGAATCATGTAAGAATGTAAACATCTGTTTTTATAATATATCTTTATTCTATTGTGGCTGTTGTCATGTCAGTTAAAAAGAAATTTATTTTAACAGTTAAAATTTAGAAAAAGTAGAGGTTATTTGGTCAAGTATGGTTCAGACTGGTCGAGTATTGTTCAGACCTTTGGTCGAGTATGGTTTAGACTGAAAAAGATAGGTCGAGTACAGGTCGAGAATGGGTTAAGACTGTTTCAGACTGGTCGAGTAATAGTTCAGACTATTTTCAGTGGCAAAGATAAGGGTCAAGTACAAATCAGTACAGTCGAGTATGGTTAAGACTGGGGTCGAGTAATGTCGAGTAAAATTCAGACCAATTCAGACTGGTCGAGTAAAAATCAGTACAGTCGAGTACAGATGTAGGCCATTTCAGACTTTTACTGGTTTGTAGTGCACCAAATTATCAATTATCAATCATGTCATAATGTTAACTTGGAGCCGAAGTTATCAATAAAAAAATAAAAACTGGTTTGGTGGCAAATCAGACAACAATCAATAAAACATGTAATGGTATGAAACCGCCTCGGTGTGGTCGTAGTAGCTATCTCGCCTTTAGAATTTGGTATTTGTTGAGTCTGAGCACGCGGTATTTAGGAGAAAGAGCAAAGACTGTCTTGGAATAAGAATAATGTGTTGTTATATTTGCCCCTTGACTTGAACATTAATTTATCCATGTATGATAAGGATGCAAACTACATGCACATGTCACTGTCCTGCCTTTAACAAAGAGCAAACCCCCTACGGTTACCGTATAATAAGCACTATTGTATATGTAAAAACCCCCAGGAAAAAAAAATGCGAAACAATTCAACAAGAAAAATAACGGTATGATTTTTGGTTAGACCAAGCAAATACAGTTTTGGCAGACGGAAACTCCCGACAACTGAAATACATGCCCGTGGTTTAAGAAAGGCACATAAAGAATTTGGCGGGGTAAAACAGTTGCGAACGCTAACATGTGGAGCAGGATCTGCTTACCTTTTCGGAGGAATCGAGATCACCCCAAGTTTTTGGTGTTGTTCGTGTTGTTCAGTCTTTAGTTTTCTATGTTGTGTTTTGTGTACTGTTTGTCTTTTCGTCGCTTTTCGTTTTTGACCACGGCATTGTCAGTTTGTTTTCGACTTATGAGTTTGAATATCCCTTTAGTATCGTTCGCCTCTCTTTTATAACGTTTTCTAAACTGAGACAATTATGAAACGTCACTACATACTGTGATTTAAAATCACTGTCAGTAACGATCAGTGGAAAATGGCTTGACTCATCATATCGGTACTTAGAACAAATAAAATGCTCCGCAGTGCATAGCTGTCTTTTTACAAAATCACTTCTCCAGCAAAACGGATTTTTATTGGTTGCTTCACGACTAGCATAATAATCACAAAAAACACGAACTCTACCGTCCACATTTTTTTTATCACATGAGTTTAAATATCTTCGATCTTTTAAATCTGCCTCTGTTTTATCACATTTATTTTTATTTGAAAATTTAGATATACTAACAGTCATTTACATTATATTAGTTGAATGTGGTTGCGAGCCTCATTACAATAACATAAACGGTACCAATTTAACTACACCAGATGCGCATTTCAATAATTAATATTCCTTCAGTGATGCCCGAGGCCAAAATACATGAAATTTAATACAAAAAAAGTAAAATAGCAAAAATAAAGAACTCAAAGGAAAATTCAAAACGGAAAATCCCTTATTAAACGGCAAAAATCAAAAGCTAAAACACATCAAACGATTGGAAAACAAACGTCGAAGAGCTGATGAAACCAAAATGAACCGAAAGTATAGCCAAATCCGGACAAGGAATCAAAAGCTTTGCATACGAGGAAGATCATGCTTAATTCAAAATAATTTTCAAAATATTATATCAGCAAATTTCAATCAAAACAATATCCATATTTTCATGCCAATACCAGAGTACAAAGTTTGAAAAAGAGACCGAGTCCTCTATGTCAATACATTTAAAACTTTGATTTACCTCAGATTTAGTCTAGAGAACAGTTTTACAGAATCATCGATGACCATCAAGTACAGAACATTGCATGCATGATGAGTAAACCGGCACTTTCAAGGGTTTTTACTAGGAGTATCGAGGACTGGACTTCTTCCAGGCAGGAAAACCCAAGCCGAACAGGAGCGTCCGTTTTGCTGTGTGGGCTGTATATGATATATAGTCATGTCCAGTAAGAATGGAAACTTTAAATCTTATGCATTATATATGGAAAGTGCTACGTTCTCTGTACGTTAAAGAACTATTGCAATAACTTTTGAGGGGTCCGTAGATGGCTTGTTGCAAAGCAAAATATCTGCCGCTATAAAACAAAGCATCTTTTATCATTGACAACTGAAATTCCTTCTTCCATCCCTGTCTACCAATTATGCAGACCCTTTCTATTGGATTTACTATTAATTGGTTCTCGACCAGAATATGCGTTAATATTAATAACTGGACGAAAAGCAACCAAACAAGAATCATCAACAAAAGAAATGTTTATTTTTAATACCAACCTACATTTTGTACCAACTTAATTTGCACCGTAATCAATTTATCAATATTTCGGTTTTTATTTAACAAACAGTTCTAAAATTGTCCGTAAATAAATTTTGAAATTATAAAGAAAGTAAGGTTTCAACTCTCTCAGGCAAAGTTGACCTTAGATGGGTTTGGCTTTTTTTTTTTTGCCTTCTTGGTCATACAGCTCTTCAACTGTTTCGGTTCTTATTCATCCTTGTCTTTCAAATATTCGGCTTTGAGCGTTCCTGATGAAGGTAAATCCACATAAGCGATTCGGACGCATAAAATTTATAACGTGTTGTTTTTATTTTTTAAGTATGTACTTCTGAGCATCGGTACCGTTATGACAATTCCTTCTAATCATGGCAATATAATTATACACACGTGTACATTGTACATGGTTTTGTGGAGTAGATCATCTCATTACAACTGTTTCAGTTTGTATTCTGACTGCTAAGTCCTATAACAGACTTATAATATAAAAATAAGAAGATGTGGTATGCTTGCCAATGAGATAACTATCCACAAGTGACCAAATGAAACAGAAATTAACAAAAAAGGTCACCGTACGACCTTCAACAATGAGCAAAACCAATACCGCATAGTCAGCTATAAAATGCCCCGGAATGACAAATGTAAAACAATTCAAACGAGAAAACTACTGGCCTAATTTACAAATGTATGTAAAAGATAATGAACGAAACACAAATATGATACACAGAAACAAACAACAACCACTGAATTACAGGCTCCTGACTTGGGACAGGCACATACAGAATGTGGTGGGGTTAAACTAGTTTATTGGCGCCAAACCCTCCCCCTAACCTGGGACAGTGGTGTAACGGCACAACATAACAAACTATGCAAAACAATAAACGAAAAACAAATACGAGAAACAGCAAAAAAAAAGACGACAACCACTCAATTACAGGCTCCTGGCTTGGGACAGGCACATACAGAATGTTGCGGGGTTAAACTAGTTTGAAGGCGTCAACCCTACCCCTAACCTGTGATAGTGGTGTAACAGTACAACATAAGAACAAACTATAAAAATCAGTTATTATAATCATATTTTTGATTGTAGCATATATGTTGCTTTATTGCAAACGTGTTCGATTTCGTGTAAGCTGACATTCAGTGCAAGCTATGTGGCCGTAAGTGATAGACGAAAAACTCAAATCCAAGCATCTTCTTTGGGCTTACACAACGAAAACTTGCAAAGTGATCATTTAACTGAAAAAGAATTAAAAATATATTATTATTTACAAACAAGAGATACAATGTTACGGCATAATTTGATTAACGATGTTTTTTTTTTCTATTTTACATTATTAATAGCAATTGTTGTTGATAAATGGTACAATTTAACAAAAACAATGACTTTTCTGCATCGGCCCTTTTGGGCTTTAGTATATATATTTGGCATACAGTTTTTTGGTCTCGAAAAATATAGCGAAGGTTATCCCAGAAACCGGCAACGTGTAGTCTTAAATCAGCATCCGAGTAGCCCTCGAAAATGAAACGGGCAAGTTGCGTTTTAGATTATTTGTCTAAACTACTTAGTAAGTGAAAATGTATCTGCCGTAGATCACGTGACGCTGTTCATAACAATAAATATACCTACATTTTGAGAATTGTTTGTTAGCATTATTTTGAGGTTCCACGAGGTTTATGCGACCATTCCCAGCAATTTTCTTCTGTAATTTTTAGACGTAAACAGTAATATATACATACAACGCAACAGAACTTTTTTTTTTATCACAAAATACTCTATTGGTTATTTTTCATAATGAAAAACAACGTATATTTTGCCGGCTGTTCATTTCACCATTCTTTTTTTTTTTATTAAACACAAAAGGGGGATATACACAAAACATGACATACTTTTTCATACTTTGTGGTTTAAATCGTGCGAAAGTATAATACAATTTACAAGTCATCGAGCTTGTCTTGGATGGATTAGACAGGGAAAAGGCACTACTAGTATGTGAATAGAAAGTCAATTAAATGACGGAATTCTTAATCAGAAAATGCCCTTCGAAAATTTAAAAAATTAAAAAAAACGGGGTCGTCGTACCTTTTTTTTTTGCTATTATAAATAATACAAAATAGAAATAGAATACTTTACATTATAAAATATAATTAAATAACCTGAATTTTTTAAATCCCTCTTATATTGGAACCTTATCAAAACAGTTGACTCCACTACCCTTTACAGACGTATCACACATATTGAAAGTATTAGTCCAACTATGTTTCGTTATAAAACATGGATAACGTAGATACACTCTCATGTTTTAGGAATTAGGCACAAATCAATCATGCAAAAAACCAAAACAAACAAACAATCAAATTCTGTGAAACTGACATCAACAAGACGCTTTACTTTTTGTTTTTTCAACATCAATATTGTTATTATGTTTGTTAAACGTGTTTGTTAACTGGCAAGTAGTTTTAACATGGGAGCTGTTTTTTCGGACTTATCTTTTTATTCGTATGAATCAGAATTCAAATAGGCCTTCTCACGGAAAAATTCTAAATCTCCTTGATTCCATTCAACTTGAACATATTAAGTTACCGCAGATACAGTAGGGTATGCTTCATATATTCCATCAAGAAATTAACAATGGGATCTTAATTTTTCGAAAAAAAGAGTTGCCTTCAACTTCCTAATTTGAGCATTAGTTACATCCCTTTTTGTCGCCATTGTAGAGTTCTATGTGCACAAATTCCTTCATAAAACAGTCAAATTCAACTTCTTATACTGACAGCTAGTCTTTTTAGAAAAAGTTGTTTTCTGAACATTTCTATTTTCTTTTAGCCTTGATTGATTCATCACTGATCTAGTAAGGATCTTTTATCAGACTTGTTGGTACCACTTGTTTCACGTTGGATAATCAAATAGGAAAATCATCCATTTACCAATCTAAAATTGTGGCCAAGGGGAAAATCTTACACTCAAATTACGTCCTATCAAAACCTATCTACAAAGAAGCGTAGGTAGGTACATGTAACTAATCAGTAATACTTACTTTTATCGAACTACTCGAAGCATAATGAGACATTTCTATTGGGATGATATTGAATAATTTGCTCCGTTTCGAATTGTACGAAATTCCAATGCGTTTCATGCAGAGAAGGTTATACAAATTAAGTGACTTCTTTGTCCTACACACAAATTTGTTGTTCAAATGTTTGTATTTAGCCATTGCACTCTTACTTAACACCATAACAGAACTATGTTTAAATTGGGGAAGAGAAACCCGAAAATCTTTATTATACCCGAACATAACAGGGACATCGGACGAAGTTTTGTTAATCAGATACCGAACATTTTCAATGATCACATAGTTGTCATCCGTAGCAATTAACGTCCAGTCAGACTCATTTCCATACGTGTCATAAATCTTTGAAATTGCTTCTTGGTATTTTGATTTCCTTTCCTTATTTTTCAAATATAAAACCGGAAGTCCACATGTTTTAGCGCCATTGTTTACTAGATACCGGACGTGATTACAGCGCTTACTCCAAGTTTTGTTTACAGCAATTCCACCAGTCATGCAGTTATTTGTCAGAATATAACATGATATTGAAATAGATTCTCGCAGCATAATTCCTTCTTCTGTCATTTTATCTGGATTAATAAAAATAAATATGTAATTCATAAACTATCAATGATATAACATTTAGTTTATCATTTTTAAGCATGTCCTATACAGATTTCATTATTTCAGCTTCCAAATTGTAAACTTTTCATTTCTATATACAAATGTAGAAACATTCCAGCAGCGTCTGCATATTGAGTATATATCTCCAAGTTGATACGATATCACAGAGCTTGCATATCCTATCATAATTTTCTTGATAGAGGGTTGCTGCTTACAAGGAAGCTTTTAAACCAAGAGTTTCAAGAGATGAATTTGAAATCATCCCTTCTAAAACTTTACGGACGCCGTCATTTGTGAAACAGGATCTGCTTATCCTTCCAGAGCACATGAGATCACCGCCGATTTTTTGATGGGTTCGTGTGGTGGAAAAAAAAAAATTGTCATGTACAAATGTGGACAACATGTAAACAGCAAAAACTTCTATTTTCCCATTATTGGCATATTTTGCAAGAATAGTTCGATTTATTCCATCAGTTATGCATTTTTATGAGCCATAATTTATAGAGAATTATTATATTCGATAAAAAAAAAAGTGTACCTGTAGATTGGCACAAAAAGAAATGCAGCCAAGCCCTCCCCTGGTTGCCACCAGGATGTAAAAATAAAAACAATGAGATAACTTTCCACCATGTCCCAAATGACGAAGAAGTTTGCAAGGGAATGCATTAAACATGTTAAAACCAATCAATTCAGTTATTTTTTATGCAAACGGTATTTGATTTGCGTAAATAAGTCACAATGTACGCATTTATGAAATAAGTGATTATTTTCAATTAAATACCAGATATTTTGCACTGTTTATATATTGCTTAATCATCACAGTTTTACTCGATAATGCCAAATTGACGGTATATATGTTTACGGATTTCAAACAGAAAGAATACAACTCACTATTTCATTGTCAATTCAACATTGTTAAAACAAGGAATGAGAATGCCACCCGTAAATAACGGTTTTGTCTGACATAAAAACAAAAACAATGCTTAATTTTTCACACTTATACATATGCCTCAATCGGACTGTTTCCTTCTTTCTTGAAACTACACAAGATAGAAAATATATTAAATTAGTTGATCCAAACAGGAGTTTGAAATACCAAACTGAACCTGAAATGAACGCCTTATGTCAAATTATGCTTCTTTTAAATGCTATCTAGTGAACAAACGTTCAAATGTAGAAATAAAAAAGTGATTGTTTTGATATGGTACAGCAGAAAAAAACCTGAAAAAATATAAAAACAGAAGAATGCACAAGTAAACGGATATGATAGTCTATTAAGATTGATTTTAGTCCAATATAAACTGAAGGAATTTTTTTGCCGGAAAAAAATCTCAATATATATAGCAGTCTATAGTTTGCTATTGACCCCACCCTCTCCCCATGAAAAAAAATCTTCTACAAAATAAAATCATGTTCATAACTACATCCGGTATTGAGGAGTAAAGAGATTCCGTCATAATCTGTATCCCAAATGTGAACTCAGAACGGGGGGAAAAAGGGGGGGGGGGCATTTTTAGCTGACTATATGGCACATGTATACGTTTTGCTCATTGTTGACGGTTATGACAGAAACGGTTAAAGTTCTTTTCGTCATATTGTAAAGATAAAAACAAAAACTTCCTTTTTCACATATTAACTCTCATAATGTATTACTAACGAATCTACCATTGAACTATCAAAGCATGTTAAAATATAATCAGATTACCTTGGATATAAATAATACTTGATATAAATACACCTAGTTTACAAATGACATTGCTGTTGACATAAATGCACTGAATTAACATATTAAGTAGATTGATTTAAAACCTTGTATTACCTATTTCAGTATAAAACCGAAATATTCTATGACTTATGGTAAAATTCTCAATGTAGGGCAAATTTCAACAGCAACATGGTTTACTGTTGTCACCGTATATACAATGGTTCTCCAACAAATGAATTTTATCGTTTTGCAGAAAATACCACTCAACCATTGAAAGATAACCCCACAGGACTATTTGAGTCCCATTTGAGCATCGTTTGAAATTTCTTGTTGCATGACCTGATTTAGAAATGGACGATTAATTGTATTTTATATCTCAGCCCATTCCATATAATCAGATCACTTCAGTAAAGGAATTACATAACTATGAAAATAACGCATTGATAATTTGCTGCTTTCTACTCACCGTGTTCACCAGAGGCGGATTTAAGGGGACAGAGGACCCGGGTCCCCCTTATGGAGCTAAATATATGGTTAACGCATGTTCCCATGTAAAGTTTTAGTCTAAAAGGTTGGCATAGGCTGACTGATCAAAATGAACAGGTTCGCCTTGAGATACAATGTCACGTCATCAGACATTACTACATTGCACGTGTGTCAATGTTAATAACTTATACTTACAACTTGGGGAACCCCATTACAATTTCTGTGAATAAATTAGCTGGTTCTTCCGTGAATTGCATCTTGGTGATGATATCCGGAGGTGGAAGGTTCCAATCTTATAATGCCACTACATTAACAGTGCTGATATAAAATATCTTCAATCAGTACATTTTTTATCCATTCCTTTTCAGTACATTTAATTATATATTTATGTTTTCAGTTATGTTGACAAAAAAAAAAGTTTTTTTTCAGTACTGAAGGGTACTTTTAATGGGTAATTTTGAAGGAAGGGCTAACATCCAGACTATATATGTATGGGTTGTTCCATTGTTAAAGGCCGTACGGTGACCTATACATAGCTTACTTTCACATCTTTTGAACACTGGAGGATTGGCAATCAAACCACATCTCCTTATTTTCGTAAACCGGTGATTTTCTTTATACTTTATAAGTACGTACTTGAACAAGGAACCAGTTAAAAAGCTACTGGTACGTACTCATTTATTTGAAGTTCGAATTTATATTTATTCTCATATTTGTATTTTTTTAAATCATATTATTACGTACCGTGATGGAAGTGTAAGTCGGAATCCAAATCCGGCATTATGCTTTGAATTGGAATACGATCTAAGATACTATGCTCAAATGTTTCTAGCTTGTCTGCAAGGCGTTGTATTAAATCAAAATCACTTTGCTTTACTGATTGTTCAAATGTTACTGTATGATTTAAGATCGTGAAGTATAGAATTACTCCAATGAAAAATCCACAGAGAAACTTTTCGAGTAAATATCCTTCCATTTTATGAACAGCTACATATCTTCCGCTTAATGTAACCAAACTAGACATTTTTACTTAATCCGGTATAAACTATAAATAAGAAGATTTAGTTGTTATCCTATTGTTTGGTCATCCACTTCACGATTCTCTCGATGCACGTCTATGGTCACTGAATAGGTAATGGGAAGTTATTGATGTTCAATGTTAATAAATAATTTTGGCGTTAAAACACGTGTTACAAAAAAGCTCCGTACAAAAAAGGGAAATATCCCGAAGCATAAATCATGTCCATACCATAATATTGATGTTTTACAGTATTTAGAAAAATAAAACTTAGTGTATGTAACATATTGCAAGAAATATTTCATGGTATCTTCAATCTGATATCTCCTTAAGAAAAAACGACCTTCTTAAAAAATCTGTATTTAAATCAATAGTTGAAATCATTAATTTCTAAATATAGAAATATTACTGTATTACGATGATTAAAATGTTTATGTATGATGTGCGATTTGCTCAAGAATAAGCGACGTGAAAACATCTGTGTCAAACTTTAAATGATTTTTTTTTTCTAAATCATTTATTTTAATGTATAGAAATATTAATGTTTTACGATAATTACGACGAAGCCAATGTTTATTCATGAGCTGCGGATTTAGAGAAACATTCTCTCTTCGGAGATGGTCGAGGTTAATATTTGGATTCTAAACCATTTAGCAGTCACAGCAAAGTTTCAAAATAGACCAACAACTGGCTAAGGACTCTAAGCTATACGTACAAGAGATTGTGATCCTTGGTTTCGAGATATTAAACTTGTCCATTTCGTCTCTTCAATTTTTCCCAAAAACCAGAATCATTTCTAACCTGTGATTCATAATTAATGAATCATTCTACATATCGTAGACCTCTAGTTTATGTTATATGTGTGATTTCACGCGGTTGAACCAGAGACACATGTATATATACAGTGTGAGAAAGTCAACTTCAACAGTTGTCAGCGAAATCAAGTCAACAATCGCGGCCCGCGTGCCTTTAACGAGAAGTTGCGATACCGTTGTAATCGCTTTTTTAGCTCACCTGGCCCGAAGGGCCAAGTGAGCTTTTCTCATCACTTGGCGTCCGTCGTCCGTCGTCCGTCGTCGTCCGTCGTTGTCCAGCGTCGGCGTAAACTTTTTACATTTTGAACTTCTTCTAGAGAACCACTGAATGGAATGAAACCAAACATGGCATGAATGTTCCTTATGAGATGCTGACCAAGTGTTGTTACTTTGTAGCGGATCCATCATCCAAGATGGCCGCCAGCGGGGGACTTAGTTTAACATGGGACCCTATGAGAAATACATACAAATGTCTTCTTTTAGAGAACCACTGAATGGAATGAAACCAAACATAGCATGAATGTTCCTTATGAGGTGCTGACCGAGTGTTGTTACTTTGAAGCCGATCCATATTCCAAGATGGCCGCCAGCGGGGGACTTAGTTTAACATGGGACCCTATGGGAAATACATACAAACGTCTTCTTTTAGAGAACCACTGAATGGAATGGAACCAAACATGGGATGAATGTTCCTTATGAGGTGCTGACCAAGTGTTGCTACTTTGAAGCTGATCCATCATCCAGGATGGCAGCCAGCGGGGGACTTAGTTTAACATAGGACCCTATTGGAAATACATACAAATGTCTTCTTTTAGAGAACCACTGAATGCAATGAAACCAAACATGGCATGAATGTTCCTTATGAGGTGCTGACCAAGTGTTGTTACTATGAAGCCCATCCATAATCTAAGATGGCCGCCAGCGGAGGACTTAGTTTAACATAGGACCCTATGAGAAATACGTACAAATGTTTTCTTTTAGAGAACCATTGAATGGAATGAAACCAAACATGGCATGCATGTTCCTTTTGAGGTGCTGACCAAGTGTTGTTACTTTGAAGCTGATCCTTCATCCATGATGGCTGCCAGATGGGGACAATGTTTAACAAAGGACCCTATGGACAATACATACAAATGTCTTCTTTTAGAGAACCACATACTGAATGGATTGAAACCAAACATGGCATGAATGTTCCTTATGAGGTGCTGACTAAGTTTTGTTACTTTGAAGCTGATCCTTCATCCATGATGGCCGCCAATGGGGGGACTTCCTTTAACATAAGACCCTATGGGAAATACATACAAATGCTTCTTCTAGAGGTGCACTGAATGGAATGAAACCAAAACATGGCATAAATGTTTCTTATGAGGTGCTGATTAAGTGTTACTACTTTTTTGCCGATTTACTGTTCAAGATGGCCACCAGGATTTTTTAATTAAATTACAGGACCAATATTAAACCAAATTTGGCCTCACTCATTATTAGGGTATCTGTTATGATTTTAATCTATTTTTACATGATTTCCAAAACCAAAGTAGAATCAGGTGAGCGACACAGGCTCTTGAGAGCCTCTAGTTGTAACTGCTAACAGAGAATATCGCAATGCACATTCGATTGTTCTTTTACATCAATTATTTCAAAACAGTATAATATAGGTATACATTTTAATTTCTTATATATTATTTACTGTCTTTAACTTATTCAGTTTGTAGCATTTCTTTGATGAAACTATTGTGAAGATAAACGTTTTAACCAGTCGTTTATAAGCTGGGTCAACATGATACATTACGAATTAGAACACTGTCTTATTTCTTGGTTAAAACTTTTCATTCTAAAACAAATAATATTCAGATGAAATAGCTTCCTAACTCATACAGGTTAAGAATATAGTTGAAATCTTTAAATATTAGCTGACGGCTATGTTGATTTGGTTATTTACAGATCCAAATACTTATGTTCCTGGTTAAAACTTGTTCATCTTCAGGGAACTATTGAACTTATCACATAAACTACTTTCATAAGTCATACTGGTTCAGAAAATAGAGGTTTATTTTTAAATATTTCCCCCACTTTGATGTAATTTATAATAAGAAAATCAGTATTATTATCGTCTGCCGTGTTGATTTGGTTATTTATATAAACAGACCGTTGTACTTATGTTCCTGGTTAAAACTTGCTCATATTCAGAGATTTATTGTACTTTTCTATCACTTGAATTACTTTCCAATGTATCAGAGGCAGATACGCGGGGGGGGGGGGGGGGGGGGGGGCGGGTGTCACCCTGTGCATGTGACCACCCCTGGGGTTGTCAAAAATGGTGCCCCATGTACAAAAATGGTGCACATGTACATTTTAATGTAATATTTGGATTAATTCATCAGTTTGTCTTTGGTTAAAATTCAATAATCATATCAAACTATACAACAAAACGTTCCTTAACAAAAATTCTATCTGACGGTGACATGCGAAGGTGTACTGGAAACTTTAATTTGCTTCTGTTTTCCATCTTGAGCCATCTGCAACCCAGATATGTCCATAAAGCAAAAATCAGAAAAATCTTTAACATCACTCGCCACGAAGAACTTAATTCAATGTAAAAATCGATGTCCTACAAAAACACTTTCCAACAAATCTGTAGAAAGGGTCGAAATCTGACCGCCATTGGAATACCAGAGTAATTTGCGGCAGTAAAACACAAACTTTTATTGTTTTACTTTACTCACATTAATTTTAAGCAACGACATATCACCAAATCCCAGGCATATAAATTATCCTTGTAGCGAATGTCGAAAGCCTGTTTGCAAGAATAAGAATGGTATCATATGTGATGATTGTGATAACTCTTGTATCACATTAAATGCATTAAGATGACGGTTAACCAATATTACGAGTTATCAGAATCGACAGACTTTTACGATTTCATTTGTTGATCTTGTCAGCAAACGTCCATTCAAACACACCGCTGTCTCCTTTATCAACATCCGATGTAAAAAATGAGGAATGTGATACGGTATCGTTAAAGAACTGAAAGACGTAAGAATACGACATCCAATAAATTTATGTGTTCATTTCTTAACATAAACAGATTCAGGTACAAAATTCTCTTCCATCAAAGAACTATTGACAACAAATACATGTGACTTGCTCATTTTTTCTGAAACAAAATTGGATGTTACCTTTACAAATGGACAATTTGAGGTTGACGACAATTTTCATCTTTGGAGGGTCGACATAACTTCAAATAGAGGTGGGTTACATGTCTATATCAGATTTGACTTGGCTTGTGATCGTAAAAAATAAAATAGAATGTGAGAACATAGAATCTATATTCACTGAAATCAGTACCATTTTGAACTTAATGTGATCGTTGACACGTTTGCACGCATGACTCATACAGGTACTTAGTTTTAAGGTAGCAGTTTTGAATATTTCTTCCACTTTTATGTAATTTACACTAAAAAAGTCATAATTGTAGCTGTGGACTAGTTGATTTAGTCATTTAATTAAACAGAATCATGTTCTAATGTTTCTGCTTAAAAATATTGTTCGCAGACAATATTTAATAATGATATATGTCCAGGATAATATTTCATTATGAAAAGCTCTCAGTTAGAATATTTGTTTTTTAAAGTTTGAAATCAGAATATTTTTATATTGAAAAACCAGAACTTAAATCAAAATGTCACCAACTTAGTCAAATAAAAATATATACTGGTATCCTGTCTCCTTTCAGAAAAAAATAGGGTACAAGTAGGTTGCTGGTAGTTTGTTGCACGTTCATATGACTACACATGTAATCATGATGTTGTAAAGGGATTGCTTTGCCCATCAGTTATGAAACTTAAACATTTTTTTTGTGAGAGAAAAAATAACAGTTGCTTATCCTGTAAAACCACCTTATTATAGTAGTTCATTCGCCAGACTCGATGTATGCGCTTTATGTGCAAGTGGTGATGACATTTTTGAAGATAAAACTTAATACAAGACTCTGCTTCCAAACTTTTGTATTTGAAGCAGAAACGGTACAGTGACAGTTGTGCAGAGACCATACAGAAAGACATGCAAATCTTGTGTTCAACTTTATTTGTCTTCTCTCTTCAAAAGTTTACAAAGTATACATATTTTGCCCAAAGTATACAAATTTACCAAAAGGAACTTACTTTGAAATAAATCAAATGTAAACTGTAATAACTGTCCTTTCCTAAATTTTTAAATATTTCAGTTTTACATGGGAAACTCCACTCAAAAATTTACGACAAAAAGGACGATTTTTCGTTCCCTATTGTTAATTTTCCTTTTTACATCGCGATGACCTTGAGGTCATTCCGATGTATTGCTATCGCCTAGATTTCCATTATGTAAATTAGTTTTGGGTTTGTAACCGATCTATAAACATGATAAATATGCGCACATAAACGAGTGCAAAATAACATTC